TGCCGTTTTCGCATTTCGGTATCGATTTTATGGTATTGATTGCTAGAAACGAATATTTAATTATCTTTTTCACAATTTATCATGTTCCTGTTGTGATGTTTGTTGTGTTTATAAATTGAACTTCGATATAAACATTACACAATCTAGATTTTGACAGCTTCACTCTAAAAAATAGCAACCTCTATATAATTCTCATTGTATTAATATTAATACCAATATAATGTGGATTTAACATCATGGATTTAAAATTCAAACTATGATGTTAATATAAACATCACAGATTTAAAATCCACACTATGTTGGTTGACGTTGATGTTAGTATTATACATAATAATATGATGTGGATTTAACATTAATAATAATAATACATTTTAAAACCACATCATGATGATGTTATATAAACATCAGAGATATGAAATCCACATCAAGTTAGTATTAATATTAATACCAACACAGTGAGAATTAGATAAGCCTTATGCACTCTAAAGCTCACTAAGAGTACACTGAAAGAAAAGATTAGCTGTTGCAGAAAATTAGATGGTACAATATGGCATAATATTTTTAATTGGCTGGCTACAGCAGCCAATTTTTGATTGCGTTAAACTATCCGCAATATCAGTGTAGGCTTTCGATAGGCTAACGTAATCAAACATTGGCTGCAATCAATTAAAAATGCTACGTATTCAACCAATCTTTTTTTTTAGTATATCTTTGTCAAGAGCACTTCTTTTTGATAAAATTTCGTTTGAAATTATCGTTAAACTGTAGGTCTCATATAACTGTACAACCAGCGTGTGCATATAAGAAAAATTATCACGCTCGGCTACGAGCAGTAGAACTGAGGAGGATACTCTAAAAAATATCGGTGTGGATTTAACACTTGTGATGTGAATTTTACACATGCGATGTTGAATTCATACCAGAGGTAGGTGTTAAATCCACACAGATTTTTTTTAGAATGTTGAAATGATTTACATTATTTCATGATGATTGTTATTAAAAATATTTTTTTGCCGAATATTAATATTATTCATTAACGGACTTTTGTAAGAATATAATACTGACTTTTGCGTTCAGATATTTTGAGGCGGATTTCAAATTTATGAGTTTGTGGCGGATCGTGACATATAGCATCACGTTTACGGAAAAACCACTGTGCTAGATGTCTTTCACAGCCACACTCATTTCGTCGTGCAGGAATCGAGTATACGAGAAGGTCCGAGAGATCGATAACGCAGATAATCGAATATCAAACGAGGACGTGACCCTCCGCTCCTACTCAAGCATTCTGGTTCCTCTCCAAAGACGCGAATAATATCGTGGATCGTGCTCGATAACCGCGTTCTTCGAGTCGTCTGGACGGATTTCGATGGCGCGAAGACATATCGATAATCCGCGTGAGAAATGTTCGTCGATCTGAGACGACAGTGAAGCAACGTTTAATCTGTTTCATTCTGCATTCAATCTTTGGATCAATAAACAACATCTTCAGATACTGTATCGTCTCATGTTTTTATACAGATAATCAACGATTTGTTATTAAATGATTTATTTGTAAAACATGATTTTTTTCTGCTTATAGTCCATTCAGTTTAATCCTAATCGATTTTTATATTTGTTTGAAAATTTGCTTAATATTTACCGGTACTGTATTTTTGTTTAAAATTAACATAATTCAATATTTTTTTTTTCATTTTGAAGGCCAAAATATGAGGGATAAAATTATGCAATTATATAAGATTGTGGAAGATTTGTTATAAATAATTTTTTACAACGGAGTTGAGAAAGATGTTCACTGGATCCGTGAATATCGATTACGGTTAAAAGTTTCTCTAACAAATGATTAATAAATAATATTGAGGATGAAAACGATACAACTTATGGTATAATTAGCGTAGTTGAACTATAATATTACTGGTTACTAAATTTACTCAATAGCGGGATGGAAACGCATGCACGCCGAATGGTATTTTGCGCTCGGTTATGAGAAATTGGATATTTATACTTGCGCTTGTGGCCATGGCGTTGCGAAATTAGCAATTAACGTTAACAGCGCTCGTTGTATCTCCATTACAAGGCTTAATTCAAAATAAGACAGAACGATGTTCGAAACGCTGACAGTGAATTCTGGGACGTAGCCAGAGCCGAAGCTAATACCATTAACCCAACAATCGCTAAAGTGGCAATTAGACTTCGAAGACGAAGCCGTTTGTATGACACTTCGG